TGCCTAAAAGGATATGACCGGCTTGCATAGGAACGACGTCGCAAAGGACCTCGTCGCGATACTTTTCTATACTGAACGGGATTTTGACCCTTTCAGTCACTTTGAGTTCTCCGCTGTTATTAAGCCACTGCAGCTTGTAAGGGTGCGGGTGTTTTTCTGTGGATAGATCCAGCTTTTTCACCATATAGGCGCTGGCCACGTTGGTGCATGACCCGCTATCGATAATCATTCCACATACCTTCCCGTTTACCGTGCAACGGGTGTGGAAGATCGTCTCCCGTTGGGCGGTCTCTTCCGGAGTTACTAGCGTACTAAGTACTCGTCGAGTGACTAGTAATTCACCGCTATCCGGATAAGCGATCTCTTCCTCAAGATCGCCCGCCTCCTCCTCGTCTAATGACTCGTATTCTCCGCTGTCCGTAATAATCATTACCCTAGCATTTGGACAGTCATGAGCCATATGTCCCCTTCCCCGACATTTGTAGCATATGATCTCCCGTGATCGTAGATCGCGTGTGGAGTCAGTTTGGGTTCGGGATTGCGAGGTTTCTGGGGCTTTCCCCTTTTCCTTGTAACTCGGAAAGTTACGACCTTCGGTCGTTTCCTTTCGGGGCGTGGAGGTAGTCCTAGGGAGGGTAATGGGGTTGCTAGGCGAGGGTTTGGGCTTACTTAGCCGGGCTTGCTTACGTTGGTTTTGTTTTTCGATCTGCACGGCTAAGTGTAAGAGCTCGTGGAGGTTTTGGTATGGGTGGCGCTCGACCTTTCGAGCAATACGCTCGTTGAGGCCATCAAGGAACTGTGCCATCACGGTTTCCTCATCTTCGTCCATCACTAATCTACTCCTAAGGTGCTCAAATTCCTCGAAATATTCTTCTACGGTCCTAGCACCTTGTGAAATCCTTCGATATTTTCGCTGGAGTTCGCGATGGAAGTGAGGTGGGATATAGCGTTTCCGCATTAACGCTTTCATTTCGCGCCATGTGCCGACTGGCTCTATTTGAGCGCGGCGTCGTTCAGTCAATTCCCGGTCCCACCAAGCTAAGGCGCTTTCAGCTAATTGAGCTGCCGCGTATTGGACTTGCTTACGGTCCGAATACGAATAACACTCGAATATGTTATCCATGCGACGCTCCCAATCGAGATACGCTTCCGGATCTATACGACCTACGAACAATGGTGGTTTAAGCTTAAGGTCTCCCCCTTGTCCCCGGTTTGGTCTATAGTTATCATCCTCTACTTGGTTGGCCCATCGTTCGGGTCTAGCTCTACGAGGTGGGTTCCTCCTAGGGATGTAATCGGGATCCGACTCCTCGTCGGACATTATCTCTCGGGGTCTGTGGTGTTGGTGCCTACGGGGCTCTCCAAGAAGCTTCCTTTTGCATGTAGGGTTCGGCCATGATGGTGAAGACGTGATGCAGGCCATGTCGGGGTGCGTCGGCCTCGTCTTCGTCCTGTATCCCGCTCAAGACTTGATCAACGACGCCATATAGTAGTTGGCGAAGTGCTCGAGTTTTGGCCCGAGTGATTGGCGGGTCGGCCCCTCAAGAAGCTTCCTTTTGCATGTAGGGTTCGGCCATGATGGTGAAGACGTGATGCAGGCCATGTCGGGGTGCGTCGGCCTCGTCTTCGTCCCGTATCCCGCTCAAGACTTGATCAACGACGCCATATAGTAGTTGGCGAAGTGCTCGAGTTTTGGCCCGAGTGATTGGCGGCTCGGCCCTAACGTATGCTCGTGGGGCGTCCTTCGCATGATGGTCGTTGTCGAGCTTTGCGGGATCAAGTGATCGTGTAACGTCTTGATCACTTGACATGTCCAAGGGCTGGTCTTCGGTTGATTGCTCCGAGGGTTCCATGTTCGCTCCTAGCTCCGCATCCAAGTGTTCCGGCTCCATGTCCATGTTCGCTCCTAGCTCCGCATCCAAGTGTTCCGGCTCCATGTCCTCATCACACATACTCAGGCGATTTCATTTGATCAGAGAAATCATCGACAGAGAAGACGTGAAGATAAGCAGAGTGTCGACAGATGATAATATTGCTGACCCGCTGAGAAGCCTCTCCCTTCATCAAAGCATGATGGTCATGTTATGGGTATGGGGATTAGATGCTTGTAGGATAGATCATAGAGCATAGTGGGAGATTGTTGGTTTTAATGCTCTACGAGGATCCGTAATATGACATTTTGACTATGTGTTGATTCATTGGTTTATGAATGCATTGCTTTTCCCATTATATGATTGGCATGTTTGTTATATTACGGTAGATATCCTTGAATCATTGCAGATGATTCTAAACTCCCTGGTCAAATGCCATTGTGGGAACAGTGATGAATTAAGACCAGCATGATGATTTATTGCATGTGAGTTCAGGTGATCAAGTTGCAGATATTTTTACGAAGGCTTTGAAGACGGATGCATTTCAACACTTTCGAAAGCAGCTCGGAGTCCAAGTTCGAGGAGGAACAAGTTTAAGGGAGGCTAATGTTGGATATTAAACTTGTTCTAGAATGTGTTCATTCTAGGAACTTGTGTTCAAAGTTCAAACATGTTATTTTGTGTTCAATACTTGGAGTTTGTGGTCTTGGAAGTTTAGAGAATATTTACTATATGTTAGACTAAGTATTATTATGTGTCTCTAGAATGTTCCTAAGAATAGTATAAATATGTGTAAGTTTGTTTTGTTTTAATAATAACAAAACCACAAGAAAAGAAATACAAAGGAGTATTTTGAGTAATTGATGATGATGATCATATGCATTGGATGCAAAATCACAATCATGGGTACTCGTTTGGAACGAGTGACTGGATGACCCGCATGAGATTGTCATATGGGCATGAGTCATGACTTGAATCTCATACAGCGGTTCGTTCTTGGATCCTCAGACCTGAGATGTCTAAAGTATCTGATATGAGGAGTGGCGTGTCTTGACTGCGTCAAACGTCGTCTTTAACCGGATGATCATAACGGCGTTGCTCAAATACGTTCACGAATCATATGCAGAGATTAGACATACAATACGGGACTTGTCACCTCCTAAGCAGGAGAGATGTCGTTGGGCCCCTCGTGGAAATCAGACTGTGAAAAATGCGTGGCCACGCTATAGATGAAGTTACTGATCATAGGGGTTTTTCACCGGTTTTGTAACGTCACACACTTTGATTTTTCTCATATCTTAGGCATAATAGGACGTTAGACGGTCATGGGTAGGATTCTTTCCTCCATTTTCCTTGCAGGATTATCGAACGAGGATATTTGCGCACGAGGCACGGAAAAGGAGTGGAATCGAGAAGTCCCGGAAAGCTCAGAGAAAATGAGCGGCCCGCTCGTTATACCAGACAGTCGCTCGCTGTGACAGCCAAGCAATTGGGCGATCGTTCTGTGGTAATACGGAGAACGAGTGGTCGCTCGTTACACAAGGCGGTTGCCTCGAGTTGCAAAGAAGAACGAGCGGTCGCTCGTAAATATGAGCGGTCGCTCACCCTGAAGAAAACGAGCGACACTGAAGAAAAAATGGGCGACCCTGAACAAAAAGTGAGCGACCGCCTGATATCAAATCTGGCCCAAAAAGGAATAGCCCGATTTTTGAGGAAAAACCTAGTTTTTGCACTTACACAAAAAGGGGAGCTTGAGGGGAGAGAAAGGGGACTCGACATTTTGGAAGAAAAAGACCTTGGAGAGGAGAAAAGGGAGATTTGGAGACCTAGGGAGACATCTTGAAGGAGGAGATCACCATTGAAGACCATATTGAGCATTTCTTCTCCTTTTCTATGTTCTCCCCTTTTGTTTTCTGTTTTGAACCTCTAGATATGGAGTAGTGACTTTGTTGTGGGTGAGGGATCCCCACTTTTGTATGGACACCTATGCTTATCTATGATGCTTTTGAGTTTTCTTCCATTGGTTTGATGTTTTGTGCTTAATGCTATTGATTTGGATGAAACCCTAATCGATATGACAATAGAACACATTGATCATAGGGATATGGGAATGATGTTTGGAACCAAATGTCAAATGAGTAAGTTATTCACATTGGGAGATGGCTTAGCTTGTTTAGGGTTCATGATGGGGTACATTAATGCATCTAGAGATCATTTGGATCATTGGAAAATGGGTGAATCGATTCTCTAGGTAGTGAGTTTAAGCTCGGGAGAGACAAACTCTAGAGGAAGTGCTTGAAACCCACAATTGGAAGATAAACCCATAGTAATTGTAACATCACTCACCGTTCATGCGATTCTTGAGGGATCCCGAACCTACAACGCTTCAAACCATTGTTTACAAACCGTTAATTTTAATTGCTTTCTCGTATTCCGACGCTTACCACAACCCACATTTTCATTCGACCACCTAATCTAGCTTAGAGATAGACTAATACATCCTAGTCCTCGTGTTCGACCCCGGTAGTACAACTACCGTATACTTCGGATACGGATCGGGTACTAAATATAAGACTCGGTGCGTGCGCATCAAGTTTTTGGCGCCGTCGCCGGGGTCTAGTCGTTTTCGTGTTAGCCTAGATTTTTGCTAGATCACCATTACTTGGTTCCTTGCTTGGATTACTTTGCGACATAACCGTTTCACAGCACTTTCGGTTCATTTTGTCTCTTTGGTGTGCAGCTCTTCCGGTGCATGACAAGAAGCACAACCAGTAGAGATCAACTCATCTTCGACCCCGAAATAGAAAGGACTCTACGCTTCGCTCGGAGACAGCAAAGATAGTGGGGAATGGCTGAAGAAATGCTAAGAGAAAACAACGCATGAAGAGAACAACCCGAGATGGCCGAAGAGCTGTTGAGAGGGGCCAATGCCCAAATAGGTCCAGTCCAAGCAGCCCCTAGAACGCTTCGAACGTACACACAATCGAGCACACTCGGTTACTATCATGCATCAATCGGGGACCACTAGAAGAATTTGAACTCCTACCGCAATGCATCCAAATGCTCAACAACATGAGTTTCCGTGGGAGACCAAACGAGGACCCGAATGCTCACCTTACGAACTTCAAGATGAATTGTAAGGCAATCAAGAAGGGACCGGGGATTACTCTTGAAGACGTGTTCCTTGAGACTTTCCCCTACTCACTTACGGAGAGAGCTAGAGATTGGCTCTACACTCTTGAGCCAAACTCTATCTCGACATGCGGTGAGATGGAAGAACAATTCCTTATGCAATACTACTCTCCTACCAAGACTCAACATGCAAGGAATCGGATTAATGCTTTTGTGCAAGAGGATGGGGAGAATATCCATGATGCATGGGAACGCTTCAAGGAATATCAAAGGATGTGCCCTCACCATGGAATGGAAAGAGACTACCTTCTGTCCATCTTTATCCATGGGTTGAAGGATGATACTCGGTCTTGGATTTATGCAGCATGTGGAGGTGACATATATGACATCACTTTCCAAGAGCTAGAGGCGACAATTGCACTGGCCATGGGACGCAGCCATACGTCCAACGAGTTCAGTAGGAGAAGCTTAGTGAAAGGTGATGTGGGAGAGAACGCAGCTCTTAAGGCGGTGCTGGCCGACCTTGCTGAAATAAAGGTCCAACTCGCCAATGCCAAACAAGTAGTTGCTCTGGAGGATCGCAATTTAGCGCAAGTTCAACCGGGTATGTACATGATTGATCAAGAAGCGGAAGAAGCCAACTATGTCGGCCCAAACCAATACACTCATCCATCCAACCTATACAACCCGGGATTGAGAAATCATCCCAACTTCTCCTACAAGAACACATCGAATGCGCTAAATCCTCAACCCGCTTTCCAACAGAACAACCAAGGACCTCCTGGTTTTCAACCAAAGTATCAACAACAGGGTCAAGGGAGTCAAGGTTATCAAGGGAATTCCAACTATAGACCACAACAAGTGCAACCCAAGGATCAAGACCCCGACATCAAGGATATGCTATTTCAAATCCTCCAAGGTCAAAAAATCACAAGGAGTATCCATTGGGGGCATTGAAAATGAGCAAGTTGCATTCAAGAAGCAATTGGAGGGAGTACAAGCTCACTTGAAGATCTTGGACAATCAAGTGGTCCAACTTGCATCTTACTCCTCATCAAGACAGCAAGCAATGCTTCCCGGTAACAACGAGGTAAATCCCCGTGAGCACATCAATGCAGCCGAGCTAAGGAGTGGAAAACAACTTCCGGAGGTTACACCTCCAATGGTTGAGAAAGTAGCGCCTCCGAGGCTTACAAGAGAGGAAAAAGGCAAGGCGGTAGAGGAAGACATCCCTAAGGTACAAGAACAGGAGAAAGAACCAGCCTACATCCCGCCTCCACCTAAGGTACCCCCGATACCTTTCCCTTTTCGTCTAAAGAAATTTAATGAGGACAACCAATTCGGGATGTTTGCGGAAATGCTGAAGAAGATGGAGATTACAATGCCTTTCCATGAGGTAATCCTTCAAATGCCTTCTTAT